CACATATGTGACAGATACTTTATTTGGTTTCAAAATCGGATACTTTTCTGAAATTTTAAAAATGTTTATTTACCCCTGATACATAAGCAAGGAGTTCCTAAAGTTTTAAATAGATACTGTCACTAGGTGAAAAGTCTGTCTAAGATCACCAAGGGCTTTTCCAAACCAGTGAGGCCAGGTTCACTCCAGCAGGGACAGGGGATGGCAGAGGAGGTGGCCTCTAGCCTGAACAGATTGGCTGGTTCCACAGAGACTCTGTCTTGGTGTCCCCTTCCCTCTTCCAGTTCTCACCTTGGGTATAAAGCCCCTCTCACCTCTCACCTGCCATGCTGGACAGTCTAATTTAGTTTGACTCCACTCCCTCCCTGTTTTCAAGTTACACAGATCTTCCTTGCCCGCTGTCTCAATTCTGTCACCCAACTTGTCCTCTCCCAATTTCAAGTCTCATCCCATCCTTGGTTTATCCACTCTCTTTAACCTGGTCATCCTATACCCAGCACCTCCACCACTGAAGACCTATCAGTCCATCCCAGTCCATCTTTCATTGTACACTGCCCCCTGCAGCTCAACCCACCCAACTCTGCACACCCATCACCCTTGTCTTGACATCCACAAAGAACCAACACATTGCAGCAGAGAGAGGGTGGAGAACACTTGAGTCTGTCTTTTGTTTCTCAGCGTTTACAGGCCTAGTTAACTGAAGTTTTTCTCCATCTTCCACTAGGGGGTACCACCCCATAACTTTTGAAACAGGAAGTCTGCTGAGTGCAGTTTTTAATGAAAAATGAAGTCCAGACCCACTGAATTTTTAAAAACTTTTCTGAACACATGCTGTAATTTTATGAAGCAATTTAATTTGATTCTTTTTAAATAAAAGCTGTCCCATGGGCAGAGTAATAGGCAACAATCTCGAGCAGTATAAACCTATATAAGGGAATGCCAATTAAAAACCCAGGCTCTGTTACGGTAAGATAAATAGTCATGAATTAAATGAAATAAATGCAAAAACTGAGTACAGCCAGACGAGTGAAGTTATTTTTATTTTAGCAACAGAAATGGGCATGCCAAACAAAAGTTTGCTTTAAAACAAAAGGTTTTATAAAAACAAAAATAAAGGAAACTCAGATGTTCTGGAACTTTTTGTATAAACAGAATTCTCTTATCTTTGGAGTATAAGAGAAACAAACATACAGCTCTAAAAACCACTTTAAGGTTGAAGCCTTCTGAGTTCTTTTTAGGAAGAAATATGCCCAGGCACTACACTGCTGTGGTTGGAAATGCAGATGGTGGGATCAAGCTGATCTCTGGATGCCACGGTGAGAACCTGGGCAGCCTCTGTCACATCAGTCTGACTCTTGGCTCGGCATTAATTAGTTCACTGGCTGTGAGCTGTATCCACCACTTGTTTTTGCTGTGACTTAGACAAGAAAATGTACACAAAGTGTTTATAGAATGACTGATGTACAGAAATGCTAGTTGTTTAATGAATAATTGTAAGGAAGACCTTCTGAGGTGACTAAAACCAGAAATCTTTGCATTGGCACAGATCCCGGCAAGCACACTCATACACATAATCACAAGTCCAGAGAAGTTAAGCAATTTGACCAAGGTCATACAGGTATGTCCTGGTGAACTTCAGAGTAGCTTTTGGACTTCCCTAAAGTCAGGCCAGCATTCTTTCTCTTACTCTAAACAAATCTCCTAGTATCTGATAGTTTATGAGAATAAACTAAACCTATTCTATGGTTAGCTACTGGTTTTGTTGGCAAGATTCTGGTGAAAACAGAAAAGTATATAGATTGTTGTGGCACTGTAAAACACTCTAGCTGTATGTCTCTAGATTTTGGCCTAAGAGACCCTTCCTACTTTTAGAAATTTATCCTACAGAAAAAAATTAAAGAAAATATGTTCACAATCATGTTCTTTGGAATACTAAAAAACTGGACCTAACCTACATGTCCAATAAGAGGGAAGTAGTTAAAAATTATAGACCCGGTACTTATGGAACTATTACAAAATTATGAAGAACACAAAGGAACGTGGAAAACATTTCCTTCTCCATCTCATTCCAAAAGGAGGTAGAGTGATGATAATTATATTTTTTATCATAATTACAACCAATTAAATGTTTACATGGATAAAATGAAAAATTAAAGTGATTTTAGGAGTATTTGGATTAGAAATGCCTTTTTCGTTTCCTTTGAGTTCTCTTAATAATACTGATCCAATAAAGAATTGTTTAGAACCAACTCATTTTTTCACTTTATCAGTATTGAAAAGTTTAAATGACCCACATGCTCTTTCATGCATTAAGATAACATGTATAATAAAATGAATGCCATGGTTATATCTAATACAATAAACTCCAAGGTGCAACAATGTATATCAGCCTTCCACCTTTGGAACCTACAAGTTGATAGAAAATATGACAATTTCATGGCTCTTCCTGCTGCATCACCTCCAAAATCTTTAACATCCCATTTCATACCAGTGCCTCTTCCCCCAGCTCTCAGGCCACCTGCCTATTAACATCACTAGGACTGCAGGTCAACAGGGCCCTTCCTTTACTTTGGACACACAGGCTTGGTTTTGCTTTCTTGGCTGTTCTGTTTATATGAAGCCTCACCACTTTAGCCACCCCTCCACAAGGACCTCAATATCTTGAACCTTTGTTTCTCTTTGACCGGCCCTGAAAATCTCCACACGTTGGGCATTTTCAGTCATTTACCTCGCCCCAGCCTGAGTTGCTACAGCCCAAAGCCGCGTTGCTTTCTGCACCCATTCGTACCCCTGCCCTCCAGTTTCAGAGGTGAGAGAATCCTGAACCTGTTGTCTGGAACCAGCTGCTCCAGTGGGTAGATAGGTACCTGCAGCCTGCTCCTGTCTTTGTACCACCTGTGAGCTTGCCACCTCTCTCTCCAGCCTCATCTGCACTAGATCTTTTGCCCTCTGAACAAATACTTCTCTGGCATTTATAGAAAAGCCTTTCCTTTAGGACATATGCTCTTCTACATAATCACCACTTGCCTTTCTCCTCCCGTTGCGTACATTTCTGAAAGGACTCTTCCTACCTTGGCCTCACTCCCCTTTCTCTGAACCTGCCTCCTATTGCCTGACTCCTCCACCCACCCAAATGTGCCCACAGTAGCCAAACTCAGTAGCTCCTTTTCATTTCTTATCGTCCTTGACCCTGAGCTGTGTGGTTTACCCTGCTGACCATTCCGTGTCTTGAAATATTCTCTTTTCTTTTTGGAACTCTGTGTTACCTTAATTACTAGAATGAATAAACTAACACTTTCAGATCATCCAGACAGAGGAGACAAGGAGAAAAGGTTCTGAGTTCAACAGGAGGGCTGGCACTTTTAGGGCTGTGGTGGTGACGCCATGGCTAGGGAGTAGTTTTGTGGACTCTGTATCAAGCAGACTGATGATTCAATGACAGAGGGGAACTCATCCTAACGCCACAAAGAACTATTGATTCTTTTATCTTATTGGGGAAAAAAGTGAAGAATGGATCATACTATGGGGACTTGTTAGGAGTGTTGGACTTTCCTCTCTGGCGTTATGATAAGAGGAGGAGGAAGTGAAACTCAAGCCACTCGGATCTCCCTCTGTATTCTCTAACAGCTGAAGCTTCCAACCTTCATTCACTCAAAATGCAATTAATTTTCCATTATTAAAATGACAGTACCTTTTAATTTTTGTGTGACTCTTGTAAGGCACAGTTTGGTATTTGATTATATGCTATCTATTGGCTATTTTGATTATTTCTTATTCCTAAGTAATATGTCCTTTATCAGACTGTAAATGCCTTGGGGTCAAGGGTGCTTTTTAGTTTAATTAGAATAGATCTGAGCACTTAGAAGATGCTAAAAAAAAATTCCTGTTATTCAATTTAACAACCATTTTAACTTCCAAGTTTTGGTGGGTTCTGAATAATTCCTGAAGCCCATATATTACGCTAGGTGCAAAAGTGTAATAGAGAAAAATTGAAATTACTTGCATTTTATAAGCTGGAGGAGAAACAAGAACATCAATACCTAAGGAAGACTTAGCACAAGGTCAAAATGTCCCAATGCTTCCTTGTGTATTTTGTAACAAACTAGGTATGAAACCAGAATCTCAGGAAACGTCGGGAGTTAATTTGAGTGCTTTTTACAATAAGTCCTTATAAATTATTGTAGTTCACTTCCTTGGAGCAAACATTCCAAACGTCTTTGTGGATGGCAGTTAGGTCTCCTAGGACTTTGGATCAGGCCTTTCTCCAGTCAGAAAAAGAATCTGAAAAGTAAAAGAAACCACATATAGTCCTGTGCTTTTTTCATCCTTTCCTGATTTCTCCCCCGATAAGGAGATATTTAAAGACTTTGAACCTCTCCAGTCTTTGATTACCTTTAAGGGTCGTTTTCTCTATAGAGAACTTTTCACCTTCCTTGGTCATATAGTCAGACTGAAAACAAACAAACGAACCCCCCCCCCACACACACACACAATATTTTCCCTTAAAAAAAAAACAGCTAAAATTAGAATGCTGGCATTGAATTCCCAGCAGACTTATTATAGCATAACTTCCTAGGCCCTAAAACTCAAGGCTGAAAGCTGGTGGTGGGGGCGGGGAGGGTTCATCGATTAATCTACAAAGGCAAAAGCGTCTAGAGTTGTCTTTCCCCACCCAAATAAAAGAGGATTAACTAGCAGCCTGAAATCCCCAGGTCTCTAGGACCAAGGTGCAAGCCCTCCGCGGCTGTTTGAGGCTGCAGCGCAGATCACCTGGAGGAAGACGCGCCCAGGTCCTCTAGCCGCTTGAAAGGCGGAAGAGAAGGTGGTACCTGAGCCAGGTAGGAGCCACTCAGAGACGGCCTCGGGCTGCCACTTACCTGGGGGAGGCGGGGACAAAGAGGCCCGGCGGCCGCGCCCGCCAGGTGAGGTGGGAGCGCCGCCCGCTCACCTCGGAAGGGGCGGGGCGAGGTGCGGCTCCGGGGCAGCGCGGGGCGGGGCCGGAACCGCGGGCGCCCGGGAGCTGCAGGAGGACCTGGAGCTGAGACTCACCTGTGCACCTGAGCCGGAGGGGAGCCTGACCCCGGAGCAGCCCCCAGGCTCGCCCAGCGCGGACGGGGGGGTGGCCGTCCCGGCGCGGCCGCCATGACCTGGAGCGCCACAGCCCGGGGCGCCCACCAGCCCGACAACACCGCGTTCACGCAGCAGCGCCTCCCCGCCTGGCAGCCGCTGCTGTCCGCCAGCATCGCGCTGCCGCTCTTCTTCTGCGCGGGGCTGGCCTTCATCGGCCTGGGCCTGGGCCTCTACTACTCCTCCAACGGCATCAAGGAGCTAGAGTACGACTACACCGGCGACGCGGGCACCGGCAACTGCTCCCTGTGCGCCGCGGCCGGCCAGGGCCGCGCGCCGCCGCCCAGCTGCTCGTGCGCCTGGTACTTCTCGCTGGCCGAGCTCTTCCAGGGCCCCGTGTACCTGTACTACGAGCTGACCAACTTCTACCAGAACAACCGGCGCTACGGCGTGTCCCGCGACGACCGGCAGCTGAGCGGGGTGCGCTTCGCGCTGTTCCACCCGGCCAACGAGTGCGCCCCCTACCAGCGCAGCGCCGGCGGCCTGCCCATCGCGCCTTGCGGCGCCATCGCCAACAGCCTCTTCAACGACTCCTTCTCGCTGTGGCACCAGCGCCAGCCCGGCGGGCCCTACGTCGAGGTGCCGCTGGACCGCACGGGCATCGCCTGGTGGACCGACTACCACGTCAAGTTCCGCAACCCGCCGCTGGTGAACGGCAGCCTGGCGCTGGCCTTCCGCGGCACGGTGCCCCCGCCCAACTGGCACCGGCCGGTCTACGAGCTCAGCCGCGACCCCAACAACACCGGCTTCATCAACCAGGACTTCGTGGTGTGGATGCGCACGGCCGCGCTGCCCACCTTCCGCAAGCTGTACGCGCGCATCCGCCAGGGCAACTACTCGGCCGGGCTACCGCGCGGCGCCTACCGCGTCAACATCACCTACAACTACCCGGTGCGCGCTTTCGGCGGCCACAAGCTCCTCATCTTCAGCAGCATCTCGTGGATGGGCGGCAAGAACCCCTTCCTGGGTATCGCCTACCTGGTCGTCGGCTCCCTCTGCATCCTCACCGGCTTCGTCATGCTGGTCGTCTACATTCGCTACCAGGACCAGGACGACGACGACGACGACGACTGACCCGGCTTTCCCAGGACCCTTCCCGCTTTCTGCCAAAACTCAGAGCTCCTCTTGGCGTCTGCTGCACCGCTCACCCGATTCCAACCTTGCCACACTTTTCCTCCCGTGGCGGATGAGGGGGGCCAGAGAGAGGAATGACTCCCTTCCTCGAGGGGTGGAGGGGCTACTGGACCCTCTCGCGAGGGTGTTTGGACTGCAGAGGGAAACGTCCTTGCAGATGACCCCCACCTCCTTCAGGACCCCGAGTTGATAGGTTAGGTTCTTAGTCTATAGAGGAGACAGACAGGAAGGGGTGGTGGAGACTCCTGTTTAACCCAGATCAGGTGAAGAAAGGGAGCCCAGCGGTGTTAAATAGCTCATGCAACAGCGGGCAGCTGGCTGGCACTTGGCTCCTGACTAGAGCTTTTCTCTTTGGGGGGTGGGTTGGGATAGGGACTGAGGCCCACAAATTACTACTGCAGAGGCAGGGAGGGGCTGGTGAGGAAGGGGGAGAGATATTTGTTAAATAAGTAGAAGGGACCAACCCCAGAGACTGACACCTTAAAGGTGGGGTGGGGCCCTGAAGCTGTGTATTAACACGCTCCTCTTGCGATTCCTGTGTTCTCTCAAATTTAGGAATCATTACCCTGAGCCAGGTTACCAAAAATTGGTTAATCCAATTTTTCAGATTGTAATTTGTTCCCAGGAGCAGTGACGATCCATGTTGCGCGTTCGGTTTAGAGCTCTGCCTTGAATGGAGGAAGTTCTTTAGATTTGTGGAAGGAATGGGGAAAAAAATATTTGCTATCTCTAGAAAACTAGTTGGCATATAGATTTGCAGGTTAGGGTTGGTGTTGCTTCGTGTAATATTTTGGTGTAAAAGCAGACACTCAGACTTTACCAGATGCAAAGCAGAAACTTGAAAATGCAGGGCCAGTCTGGGCAGGCCTGAGGAAACGTTTAATCAGATAGCTGGAGGGGATCTTACAGGGGAAGTAATTTCCCTAAAGTCACATCTGTGTCTCCTGACTCCTGGCTAAATCCTCTTTGTCATCTGTTTTTTGGTTTTTTGGTTTTTTTAATGGTTAGAGAGGAAGGAATTTATTCATACCTTCCCTTGTATCTGGAAAAAAAAACCCTTTTAAATTTATGTTCTCAAATGCAACGTGTTAGTTTCTGGCAATCATCTTTAAATGAATGCTAAGACACGGAGTCTTTTTGTGGTGGCAACGGTGGGATGGCATATAGCCATTATGTAACTGGAGTCTTCAGAGTATTTGAACCTTTGAGATAATGTTAAAATGCTGACTAAAATCATTCAATTGATTTTATTGATTACCATCAATCAATATGTATAAAAAGTTATCCCAAGAAGAAATAAAATATTTTTTATTTTAAAATTTTTATGGCAAAATGAAAGAACTTTAAAAAAAAAACCCATCATTATATTATTGTACAAGTTCTTTGCTAAACTCAGTTCCTTGGTGTTTGTCAGACAGAACCTCCAGTGCCTGCTGTCTGTCCAGAAACAGCTGACTTCCAGTTTCTGCTGTTTACGCTCATTCCTCTAAAGCAGTGCAAGACCTGGGTATATTGGGTATATTTTTTTAGTACACAAATTTGTAATTGTATTGAAGAATGTATGTGGATTTTATTTCACTATTCCAGTTCTGAGGTTACTGACCAGTGAACTGCATGTGTGTCACTGATGTCTGTCTTGGGTCTTCTGGAACAATTATGATTTGAGAGATTCTGTCCCACCATTTACACATACCAAAAAAAAAAAATGCCTTAGTTATTCAAATGTGTTGGCTTCCTCACTCCTGAATGTGACAAAATTTAACTGTCAGATTTTGTGTTGTGATTTCAGGCTATGAAAACACAATCAGTATACGTACATTGAGTACTTTTTATTTATTGTGAATGTTTGGTTGAGTAGCTTACTGGCCCAGCTCTCTTCTATTTCGGCTAAGAGAGTTACTACATTTTTTACCTGTAGTTGAGAGTAACATGTATTTTGTTATCATTTTCAGAATATTCAAATCTATTGCTGTAACATTTTAAATGAGAGCGTGAAAGTGAAGTGATTCTGAGTCAGATTAAATTAATGGATATGGTTTCAGACTCTTCTCTGGGTTCTTGAAAGAGAATAAAGGTTCTGTTTACTTTACCTGGTTATCAGGTTTGCTTGGTTCTTTAGAACTATGCTCTTAAAGGCACAGTACCAACCACTTTGCTCATTTCTTTCTTTTTCTTTTTTTTGAGACAGACTCTCCCTTTGTTGCCTCTGGGTAGAGTGCAGTGGCATCTAGACTGGCACAGCAACCTCAAACTCCTGGGCTCAAGCAGTACTTCCTCAGCCTCCCCAGTAGCTGGGACTACAGGTGCCTGCCACAATGTCCAACTGATTTTTCTATTTTTAGTACAGACAGCGTCTTGCAGTTGCTTGGGCTAGTCTTGAACTCCTGAGCTCAAGGGATCCTCCCACCTCAACCTCTCAGAGTGCCACAATGACCAGCTGCTCATTTGTTAATAGCAGATTTATAATGCAGCAAGAAAATAATCTTTCAGAGTAAGGCTCAGTTAAAAGCAACTTAATTGATTGTTGGCTTTCTAAAACAGAATTTGGACTTACTTCAACCTGTATATGAACTAGATGGTCCCCAACTATTGTTTGAATTTAACAAATGGTCAATTAAAAAAAAAATTAGTACTAAAAGCTATTGATGAATATGGTGAATATGGTCTTTTGCATTTTATTTGAGTTGTAAACTCCAATTATTTGTTGGGTATTCTGGACTACAAAGCAGCAGAAACTTTCAAAATGAACAGGTGAAACATTTTCCAGCAATGATCCCTGTGCATGTCGTCTGGGGTCTCCAGCTTCCAGTCAGGCTTGAATTCCCATGTTGTCCAGTAGGTGTTTCCTAGCTAGAGGTGTATCTTCCAGGGAGGAGACAGGACAGAGTCAGCCCTAACAGTCTGACCAGAAATGAGCTTTGGCCTACCTTGTAAAACACAAACACACACAGAAGAGAAAGTAAAGTGGTCGGTGAGAGCTCCCCAAACAGAAAAATGTGACAAGAAAGATCTCCACAATCCAATCCAATCCACCAAACAAACCGTTGCTGACTACCCAATTGTTAAAAACCAGAGACAGAATACTGGCTTGGAATTTCCTTGAGAGCCCATGTCACTTTGTGGTATGTACAACCACACGCTTTCTGCCTCACTTTGCTGCCCTCTTCCTGTCACTGGAGACCTCAACTATCTTGAGCGACTTCTCTCAGAGAGTTGTGAGTAGAGCTGCAATGTCATCAACCAGTTCCTGATACCTGGGTCACTATGAAAGATTTGAGACAGACTGTGTTATCATCCATTATTTCACTTCCAAGAAACACAGTCAACAGCGTCCTTTCTGATTCACCTGTGCCAGTTTCAGCTTGTTTGGCCTATCGGTGTTGCTGAGAGGGCTTCATTTGTTTCCATCTGCTTGGATTTTGTTTTGTGTATCTCAAAACTTTTGTAATGACCCCTGTAAGCCCTTTGATGTAAGTCATCAGTTACCATAATAAAAGTAAATTTCCCCTTCTTTTATTTTTATTGGGCATTTCTTTGTGTCTCAGATTTTTTCTCTGTGCCTAAAACAGAGCTGGCTGATTTCAGATCGCAAATTAAAAAAAAATTTTTTCACTTTAATTTTTTCCCCCAGCAGAATGAATCTTAATTCTCCTTCAACAAAAAGAGTAGTTTCATAAACAGTCATTCAGAAGGCCTTAGTGAATCTGACTGAACAAATTAATTTTCAAAAAAAAAATCACACATAAGAGCAACACTTTGAAAGAATTTTAAAGCCGCACTCAGTGGCGCCGGCCTGTAATCCCAGCACTCTGGGAGGCCAAGGTGGGGGGATTGCCTGAGCTCATGGGTTTGAGACCAGCTTGAGCCAGAGGGAGACCTCATCTCTAAAAACAGCTGGGCATTGTGGCGGGCACCTATATTCCCAGCTACTCGGGAGGCTGAGGTAAGAGAATGGCTTGAGCCCAAAAGTTTGAGGTTGATGTGAGCTAGGATGCCACAGCACTCTACCAGGGGTGACAAAGTGAGGCTCTGTGTCAAAAAACAAAACATTTGCAAAATTTTCTAGCAAAGTTGATTCTATTGTACATAGGCAGCCTCTATAATTTTCCTGATAAGACTAATAGTATGTATTCAGGAAAAACACCATAGTCTTGCCACTTTGTGTTAGCATTGCCATCATTATTGGTTGGTACTCATGTTAATTAGGTCACAGGAACACCCGTGTTCCTGGCGTTCAGGTGTTTATGATGTATTTGGCGGTTCAGGTTCATGTAGGATGGAAAAGTTCTTCAGTAGTGAAACCCAACATAGACCAGAGGTTGTAGAGAGATAGGACAAGGAGAATAAGAAAGGAAGAGGAGGTCTGAAGCAGGAGGCGCTTTCTTGGGCCAGTAGGGTACTCAGAAGGCAAGGAATCGGCATCCAGGGAAGGAAGCCCCTGGCAGAGAGCAGGGCTCCTTGATGACAGGGCCTCTGAGAAATTGAGTAAGTGGATGGTGGCTCACCTCCTCCTGAACCCCTCAGCTGGACTTTTTGATCAATTTGAGCGTGATTTATCTTCTTCTTTAGAAGCCAAAGGTATTACTGTCAAGAGCCCTAGCTAATAGCCTTGCCCTCTGCATTGAGCTCTTAACTAAGTTCCCATTAAAGTGGCTGAAACCTTACATTACTGATGAAAACTGTAAATGATGTGTCATTAATAATGATACTTTGTTCTTCTAAAAGGCCTTTGTTCTGAAAGTCCAAGGTGCTTAACACTATGTGGTCTCATTAATCTTATCTATCAAAATGCAAGAGCTTTTCAGAAAATCATCAAGACCAATTAGGTAGAAATATATTCCTTTCTATTTTGCTCAATTTTGTTCAGAACTCTGTAAAGTAAGTGGTGCTCTTAAAGAAAGAAAAAAATCATAGAACTTCTGGATGAGGCAGTGATAGTCATCGAAATGGACCACCTGAGTGTTTTTTAAAAAGACTAGATTAATTTTTGTTATGATCTTAGTAAGTTAAAGACATTTCCCATTTTTGTTAAATAAGCCAAAAGTGGGAGATGAAACACTTCCTATTTACGCTAAGTGATAGAATGTAAAATGCTTTCTGCTCTTTTCCTTCTCTTTTCCCCCTATGGGTCTTGAAGAATTAAGACTTATCCATTGCTGGGGGCTGTGGCTCACACCTGTAATCCTGGCACTCTGGGAGCCTGAGGTGAAGCCTCCCAGAGTGCTCAGGAGTTCAAGATCTGCCTGAGAAAGATTATGACCCTTTCTTTATAAAAAAAAAAAAAAAAAAAAAAAAGAACTAGCTGGACATTGTGGCCGGTACCCCATAGTCGCAGCTACTGGGGAGGCTGCGGAGGATTGCTTTGAGCTCAAGAGTTTGAGGTTGCTGTGATGCCCTGGCACTCTACCCGGGTCAGCGGGTGAGTTGTCTCGTAGAGAGAGAGAGAAAGAAAAAAAAGAGGGAGGGAGGGAGGGAAGAAGGAAGGGGACTTATTTGTTATTTCAACATAATTTGCAACTAACTAGATTACAGTATTTCACAAGTTTCACTTGGAAAAGCAAATTAGCTCATATAGTCCTTTTCATTAATCTTCAAAAATATTATTGAACATCACGTGTATATGTAGCATGAGCTCTGTCTCCAACTTGAACCTCTGCAAACTCACATTTCCAAATAGCTCTTGGACACATCAGAATGTCCTACAGGTATCACAACTTCTGTGTGTTCGTTACTAACCTCATTGGCTGATGCTCCAAACCTGTCCTTCTGAGGACAGACCCAAAAGATCAATGAACTCTTTCGTCCCCTCAATGAGCCCGAAACCTGAACGGCCACCTTCCTTTCTCCCCCTCTGTTTCCTTTGGTAATCTGACTCATTGTCAGATCCTCTTCCCAAATGCACTCCCAGTCAATTCCTTCTTTATCACTTTGTTATTTCTCATCTGGAAGTTGGAGGAGTCTCCTAAGTGGGCTCCAGTTCATGGTCCACATCACAGCCACCATGAGCTTTCGAAACACAAATCTCATCAGTTACCCTCCACTCGAAATAACTCACGTTCATGTACAGGCTGCAGGAGGAAATCTGAAGGACATCCACGCCTTTGTGGTTGTTCTCATTCTATGTCTTCATCTATTTTCCCTCCAATATCGCACCACATTCCAGTCATGTTGAATGATTTGAAGAGGCCTGACCCAGTGTCTCCTGGTGTCTTTGCTCGTGCTGGTCTTGCCCATCCACCTGACCCAGTGTCTCCTGGTGTCTTTGCTCATGCTGGTCTTGCCCATCCACCTGACCCCCTGCATCTCCTCATTCATTCTTCATCTGGACCCGGCTGGATCTCTGTCCTCTGTAAGGTCCTCCTCAAGGGGCCCTTGCCTCCTCCATACCCGGCCTTTTCTTATTGCTGGTTCCGTTTCTCTCTCAGAGAAGTTCCCGTGCTGCTTAGAAAGGGATTATCTGTTGATCTCTCTCTGTATTCAGACTGTTCTATGATAGCTGGGAATTTTTTCTCACTCATCTTTATTATTGCCAGTGCCTAGTACCATGACCAGCACACGGCAGGTCCTCAAACATTTGTCAAATGGCAATTAGAAAACCAGCGATTCCAATACTTCATTGCCGCTGAACATTTTATTTCCTACAATATAGTGGAATGCACAGGAAATAATTCAGGACACAAACGAGACTCAGAGATGGCACTCTAAACATTTCAGATGTTTAGAGCAAAGAGTGCTGGGAATGCACATATATTCTTAGCATGGAAATTGTTTAGCCTACAGTTCCCATCTGGATAACTTAAATGTACAATCGGGTTTTCCTCCATGAGCTAATTTGCAGAAATGAATAGCAGATGTGTTACATTAGTCCAGTGATAGTGGGGATAGTTACTTTATGCTCAAAGGTAATCCGGGCCTTTCCTATTTAAACTGCAGCATGTTAATGGAATGTTTACATTTTTGTGGTGCTTCTTTATAAGAAGAGAATTTTTTACATACTGTAGTATTCTACAATAAAATGTAAATGAACATTGCTTTCCCCTG